GTAGACCACCTTCAAGAAGTGTCAACCTTCACGAAGTGCCAAACAGTCGGCGGTCAGAGGACTCCAGTGCCAAAAACATTCTTAGGGGACCTTGCAGACGTGTTCAGAACATATTGGCGTAACACTAGATTCTCACCAAACAGTTCTGGATGTCGGTTATATCGACACATCATAAGATGCCTTACAAGCAAGCATCGGCTGCTTGTAGGACCTTCTACCCGGTATGAATATTTGAGAGCAGAGTTTCGTACTCCACCGTGAGATCCACGCCGGATAGGTGGATCTGCCAGCCTACCGCTGTTAGCTGTAGTCATCTTGAGGGAGTCGATGAGGTGAGGACCCGACAAAGAAAACTCTCAGTGGACTTTGCTGCTGTGTTTTTGGAACTAATTGGCGTAGCACAAGATGTTCAGCAAGGAGTTCTGGATGTCGGTTATATCGACAAATCATAAGATGCCTAACAAGCAAGCAGCGGCTGCTTGCAGGACCTTCTACCCGGTGTGGATCTTTGAGAGCAGAGTTTCGCACTCCACCGTGAGATCCACATCGGATAGTCGGACCTGCCATCCTACCGCTGTCAGCTGTAGTCATCGTGAGGGAGTCGACGAGGTGAGGACCCGACAAAGAACACTGTCAGGGAACTTTGGTGCCATATTTGGAACATATTGGTGTAGCACTAGATGCTCACTAAGCAGTTCTGGATGTTTGTCATATCGACACATCATAAGGTGCCTTACAAGCAAACACCTGCTGCTTGAAGGACCTTCTACCCGGTGTGGATTTTTGAGAGCAGAGTTTCGCACTCCACCGTGAGATCCACATCGGGTAGGCGGACCTGCCATACTACCGCTGTTGGCTGTAGTCATCTTGAGAGTCGATGTGGTGAGGACCCGACAAAGAACACTTGCTTGCAGGACCTTCTACCTGGTGTTGATCTTTGAGAGCAGAGTTTTGCACTCCACCGTGAGATCCACATTGGATAGGCGGACCTGCCATCCTACCGATGTTGGCTGTAGTCATCTTGAGAGTCGATGAGGTGAGGACCCGACGATGTTCCAATTGGGACGTGCTCTTGTTTCGTGATGTGCAGGTGCTTACACGCGGTGCGTTCGATCCCTTCCTCGACGTGAAGCAAAGTGCGAGGGAATCGCTCAGGGCTCACACCAGAAGTGCGATTGAACTCGCACTTTGATGGAGAAGCAGTTGCGCAGTCCATCAACGCGACGATTTAATATGAACATTGGCTTGTCATTTCTATATCACAGGTTGAAAATGCCATCAAATCTTTCTGTGTAGAAGATTCATATCCATTCATACAAGCATCTCTTGTCATCACAAACATCGAGATGAAAACATCTGAAGTCAAATTGCAAAGCACACAAAGACATCGCAAACATCGAGGTGAAAACATCTCAAGTTGCGCACTGTTTTTCCAAAGGTGAAGTCTCAGAGCAGACGATCAGTTTCCAAAAACCATTCTATGCAGAAAATTCATTCAAGGGCAAATTGCAAAGCACAGAGACTTTTCAAATTGAACGCAAAACATCATACAATGCCACATTGCAAAGTGCACGGAGGATTTTCAAAAATCACAAAGTACATGGAGCCAAAGTGCGAATATGTTCTCATTTCCCATATGGAACCAACTATTCAATCACAAATGCACGGCATCCAAAGTGCGAATGTGTTCGCATTTCTCATATGGAAACATCAGCCAGCATCCAGTGGAGAGCACAAGATGTATTCCGGGGATAACAAAATTGGCAATCATTTAGTGCGCCGCTGAATCCATTAAACAACTTCAAACACAAGTCAAATTGCAAAGCAGACAGAGACGTCGCAAACATCAAGGTGAAGACATCTCAAGTTGCCTAGTGTTTTTCCAAAGGTGAAGTGTCACAACACACGAACAGGTACCAGAAACCATTCAATGCAGGAAATTCATTCGAGGGCAAATTGCAAAGCACACAGAGATATTTCAAAAAGTCAATGAACGCGAAATATCATACAATCCCACATCGCAAAGTGCACGGAGACTTTCCAAATATCACAAAGTACATGGAGCCAAAGTGCGAGTATGTTCTCATTTCTCACATGGAACAAACAGTTTAATCACAAATGTACGACATCCGAAGTGCGAACATGTTCGCATTTCTCATACGGAAACAACAACCAGCATTCCGTGGAGAGCACGAGATGTATTCCGGGGATAACAAAATTGGTGATCATTCAGTGCACCGCTGAATCCGTAAAATAACTTCAAGCACACATACATTCTGGCGACAATTGGTTTCTGAATGGAGAACAAGTTCGCAACTGTCATAAGGAACCAACAGACAACATTCAATCGAGATAAGCAGAGGGGGTAGACCGTAAAACGGGGCGGCACACGCAGAACAAGGACGAGCCAAAACATATGAAAGCTGGGTAGTCGGGGTGGGGCAGGTGAGAGGGGCTTTCACACCACAAGGTCTCGCGAACGAAAGAGATAAGCACGAAACAATTTGCCGGCCAAGAATAAATCGTCGATATCTTTCATATGAGTAAAAGAGGAGCACAACCTCGAAACGAACAAACGCAACACGGTGCTGGTCTGAGAGGACATAAGGAGAACAACCCGAAAATAAACAAAAGGAGCACAAAGTTGGGATATTCGCATCCGATATGTAAGTGTACTTTAAAGGAACTGCACCACGTGGCTGGGATATTTACAATGGCATCTAAACTTCTACTTCACGTAAGCGTCCGCTTCAACCCTCTAGCTGATGTTGCGCGGCAACCAATGAGAACAACCCGAAAACAAACAAAGGCAGCAGGACGCTGCCAAAAGGCGTACGAGTAAAGATGACAGGTTCGTCGAAATGAAGAACCCTTAAAAAATTGCTACAGCACGAGGCTAGGATATTCACATCGATACCTAAGCGTTTACTTGATCAAAACGTTCACTGCAATCCGGTACCTCATCAAAACAACAGCACATCTCGAACCGGGCGACTGGTAGATGAAGTGAGAATAAATTCGCACTTCTGCTTATGGCATTTCGAAAAAAAAACTACGCGTATTTTTACAACAATGGTATCATTCAGCGCCTTGGAGTATGTCCACCGCAATCCTCAGCCGGATGTTTGGAATGTCGCTTTGGGCTATCGAAAATGGTGGCGGAAAGCTGCGTGCAAGAAATGAAGCGAAGGCGAGCATGAAAACACCGCAGCTCGACCCGTCCGATTGTTGAGGGACACCACGAACAACCACCTTGGGCTCCTGGAGATCCACTTTCGTTTTTGGACCATAATGACAAACTGCTTCGTCACGGAGGTATTGCGTGAAGTTCGCAATCACATCGGAAGAAAAACCGCCATCGTCTTGTACAAGGGAGTCGTAGTACTCCAGCCGTTGTTCTCGGAGACACAATAGGGTCCAATGCACTCCATGTTTATGGACAAAAATCAAGACTATCTCGTGCGAGAAAATATCCACAACTTTTGTCCATCTCGCAACCCTATCATGTCGATAGCCGCCACAAACGAGCTTGGTATAGAAAAATGAACTGAAAATGTAAAGAGAAGGACACCCAGGCAACACAGCGTTGGCAAGCAAGGCCAAGTACGACTCCACCACCTCGTCGGAAAGCCATTCCCCCTGAACAAGAGTTTGAAGATTTTTTCTGCTCAACGGAATTGAATTGACCCCTTTGCGAACCGAACACACCACCTCGTGGCTGTTGCTATAATCTCCACAGACGTTCCGCAAAATTCTCAAGTCCGTAGCGCTAAGCTCCTCAGTAGGCAACGGAACGCGAAAACATGATGTAGCCCCAGCTGCACAAACACCCACGAACAAGTGTGAGGAGTGAGCACAAACCCTGGGGTGGAATGACTAAAAACTGTCTGCCCTTTTCCCAGAAAAGTTGTATCCCCGCTTGTTGAATGTGTCCTTCGCGATGTACTTAGGACACGGGTCTTTCAAGACACCCCGTTTGCCATCGTCATCAGACCCGTCAGACAAAGCAGTAACACTCTCAATAGACGCAGCCAAATGTTTCCGCAGACCTTCCTCCTTATCTATTCCACAAGCCTTCAGAACCCTGACAGCTCTCTGGGAAAGGCGAGGCATCTGGACCCGTTTAAACAACCCTACACTTGACGACTTCTTCGGTGAAGCGGCCAATGACCTCCCTGAAAGACGTTTCTCACGCACGGCTTTTAAAGGCTTCATGGGCAGGGACATTAACGACCTCACACCTGTAGAACATAGAAAACAACCCACAGCCCACAAGTTTTTTTTTAACTAGTGGTAACAGGTACATTAGCCCATGACATCAATTCGGACGAACACAGAGCTGGCCAGTGACAGATATGCGAGTGGTCCTATTCACAAATCTTACCGTGCTCGGGAGCCCTTTGAGGGAACTCGCCCTCCTGTCGCGCCACTGCGCCAACGTCCACGGACGATTCGAGTTTCTGGACCTCGGCTACGGTTGTGTCGCTAACCAGCTCGGTGGCAGCTGAGTCGCTTGGCAAGTCAATGGGTTCATGAAGCACCATTTCCCGACCGGTATTGAGGACAGATGCTCGATCACCCTGTTCGGCACCGCAACGGGTGGACGGAGAATCATGATCTTTCCGCTCTGGATCCATGTTGATGCTGACGGCCACCTCACCGCCTTCCACGGAGGATTCGACGTTCTGCATCTCAGTTACGCCTGAGTCGCTAACCAGCTCGGTGGCTGCCGAGTCGTTACCCAACTCTATGGCTTCAAGAAGCACCATTCCCCGAGCGGTGCTCAGCATAGACGCTCGACCACCCTGTTCTTCACTGCAACAGGTAAGCGAAAAATCACCATCTTTCCGCTGTGGATCCGTCCGGATGTCGACAGTCACCTCACCGCCTTTCTCATCGCCATGAACCCGAGCTTCTACCGCGGGTTCTTCGTCGCCAAGAACGGGAGCTTGCACGAACGTCCACTTACCTCCCTTAATGACACCCTCTCGCGTCATGGCCATAGCCGAGCGACTGTGCAGAACCTCTTCGGACGCCCCGATCATCAGCGCTCGTGCGTGGAGCCATTTCACGTCTCCACGAGCCGGCCCGTGTCGAGTCTCCTCTCCCCGCTGTACAGCATGCGTTTCCCCCGGAGCTCCTACATTCTCGCTGCCAGTGTCCACGGACGCACCCTCCGAAGCATGACGTTCACACTCGCTACCCCCGGTCTCCAACACTTTGCGAGTCTGCCATCATTGGGTCTCCTTTTCCCGATGTACAACACGCGTTCCTGGAGAGCGCTCGTCTTCCCCAGGAGTGTGACGTTCGTTCTCGCTACCCCTGGTCTCCAACACTCCTGGAGTGGGCCCCTCCAGCACGTCGCGAGAGTGCAAGTCTCGAGTCTCAACACATGAGAAAGGAGGCAAGCAGGGTAACCCTGTGTCCAACTGAAGATGCGGGGGCCAGGACGTCACATTTTCTTGGCCCCGCGGAACTGTTGCGTGAGGAACACTTATGGCGTAGGGCGACGGCAGCAAATCCGAATGTATTCGGAGTTTGTGGCGGTCGCCCGAGCCGAGGGAACCGGAGGTCGCACCTTCGCTCCTTCGCAATGCAGGAATCCCGCCCTCCAAGCAAAACGAAGACGCGCCCTTTTTCAGGAGCAAGGTGTTGAGCACAGGAGATCTTTGCTGCGCACGGCGGGATGGACTCTCCTGGTCAACGAGAAACAAACTCCTCGCAGACAAGTGCGGATCTACTCGTACTTGATCAGACGTCAGGGTGGCCTCGTCTCGCATGTCGGAATCTCGACTCCCTACGCAGTGGGGGTCAGTTTCCATATCCTCGGGACTCCCGGACGTTCTACGCTTTCCGCCCGAGCTCTTTCCGCCCGAGCTCTTTCCGCCCGACCCCTTTCCGCCCGACCCCTTTTCGCCGACCCCTTTTCGCCCGATGCCTTCTCAACCGACGATGTCTCGCCCGTCCCCTTTCCGGCAAACTGTGAGCCGTCTCCTCCGCCACCTCCTCCGTCTCCTTCGTCTCCTCCACCACCCCCT